ATTTCTTTAAAATAGCTAGGGACCAAAAAAAATTCAACAGCTGCTAGATGATGTAAAGAAGAATAACATAAGATTGATCAAAGTCTATTAAAAAGCAGGAGATATTGCAAGTGACATAAAAACCTGTTCACATAAGGGCAGGACTTCCTAAGCAGGGAAAAAGAATTTGACATACAGGTAAGTGAGGCATATAGAATTCCAATGAGCCATGATTAAAAAAAAAAAAAAATCTACTCCAAGGGATCTAATAGTCAAGATTCCAGAAAATCAACACAACAGAATATTAAAAGCTGTTAGAGAAAAGAAACAAATCACCTATGAAGGAAAGCCCTTTAGAAACACAGCAGACTTCTCAACACAACCTCTCAAGAAGTATTTCATGCCCTAAAAGAAAACAACCTCCAATCCAGATTGATGTACCCTGCAAACTATCTTTCAAAACAGATGGAGAAATAAGATACTTCTACGACAAGAACACCCTAAGAAATTTATGACCAGCAAACCAGCTCTCCAAAATGTTCTGAAGGACATTCTAGACTACAACTCCATGAACCCCAACAGAATGAGTCCACCAAGAAAAGCAAGCAATTAAACAGAAAGGGGAAAACAAGGGAACCAACAATAGGAAAATAACATGACATGGATAAGTCAATACATATCAGTTATAACCATCAATGAAAATGGTCTCAATTCACCAATCAAAACAAACAGAATAGCAGAATGGATCAAGAGGCAAGATCCAAGAGTATACTGCATACAAGAAACACATTTAATTCAAAAAGAAATTCATAGACTGAAAGTCAAAGGATAGAAACCAATATTAAATGCAACAGAAACCCAGAAAAAACCAAAGGTAGCTATTTTATTTGTAGACAAAGAGGATTTGAAGCCAAGACTGATTGAGACAAAGGTCACTATATCATTGTAAAGGGAACAATCCAAGAGGAAGAGATAACAGTCACAAATATATATGCACCAAATACCAGCGCACCGAACTATATAAAACAAATAATAATGGACATGAAAAATCAAATAAGCACTGATACAATTGTAATGGGGGACCTCAATACTCCACTGTCACAAATACACAGATCAACTAGACAAAAAATCAACAAAGAAATATCAGAACTGAACCAAACTTTTGAAAAACTGGACTTAGTAGATGCCTACATAGCGTTCCACCCCACAACAGAAGAACACACTCTTCTCAGCTGCACACGGGACTTTCTCCAAAATGCTAGCTCATAAAACATACTTAAGTAAATGCAAAGAAACTGAAATTATCCTATGCACATAACCAGATCATAGTACAATGAAATTGGAAATCAATGGCAAAAAACCCCACAAAAACTTCATAAACACATGGAAATTAACACCCTCCTGAACAACCAGTGGGTCACAGATGAAATTAAAGAAAAAATTAGTTTTTACAATTAAATGATAATGCCAATACAACATACTGGAACTTATAGGATGCAACGAAAGCAATCCTACGAAGGAAATTTGTAGCAGTGAATTCCCATATCAATAAAACAGAGCAAGCTCAAATAAATAACCTAATGTTGAACCTCAAGCTTCTAGAAAAAAAAGGGCAAGTCAAGCCCAAAGCCTGTATGAAAGGGAGGAAATTATAAAGATCAGAGCAGAAATTAATGCAATTGAAACTAAGAAAACAATAGAAAGGATCAATGAATTGAAGTTATTTCTTTGAAAGATCAAATAAAATAGACAAACCCTTAGCCGACCTTATCAAAAAAAAGGAAAAAGACCCAAACCCATGCAATTAGGAAAGAAAAGGGTGAAATCACAATAGATCCTATAGAAATCCAGAAGATTATCAATACCAACTTCAAGAACCTGCATTCTAGGGGCCGGGGATTTAGCTCAGTGGCGTGCCTGCCTCATAAGCACAAGGTCCTAAATTCGATCCCTGGTACTACAAAAAAACCAAAAAACAAACTTGTATTCTAATAAGATGGAAAACACAGAAGAAATGGACAGATTCCTGGATACATATGAATTACCAAAGCTGAAAAAGATGTAAAAATTCTAAATAAATCACTATCAGTCAATGAAATTGAAAATTTAAAACCTACCAAAAAAAGAAAAACCCAGGCCCTAATGGACTCACTGCCGAATTGTACAAGAAATCTAGAGACCTAATGTTGCTACTTCTCAAACTCTTTAATGAAATTGAAAGGGAAGCAATACTCCTACTCCCAAATTTATTTCAAGAAGCAAGCATTACCCTGATTGCAAAACCAGAGGATCCAACCAAAAGAGAGTTATAGGCCAATCTCCCTAATGAATATAGACACAAAAATCCTCAGTAAGATACTGGTAAACAGAAAGTAGCAAATCAAGATTATATACCATGACCAAGTAGGTTTCATCCCAGAATGCCAGGATAGTGCAACATACACAAATTAATAAATGTAACACACAATATTAGCAAAGCAAAGTACAAAAACCTATATGATTATCTCAGTAGATGCTTTGACAAAGTCCAACACCCATTCATGATAAAAACCCTACAGAAAATTGGAATCGATGGTCTTTATCTCAATCAGATATGTCACCTATGACAAATCAACAGCTAACATAATAGTAAATAGACAAAAATGAAAGCTTTCACTCTAAAATCAGAAACAAGACAAGGATGTTCACTGCTACCATTCTTAGTGAATATAGTTCTGGTAACATTAGCCAGAGCAATTAAGGCAAGAGAAAGAAATAAAACATATATGAATAGGAAAAGAAGAAGTTAAATTATCATTATTTGTGGATGACATGATACGCTACATAGAAAACCACAAAAACTCCACCAAGACTTCTGGATTTAATTACCAAATTCTGTAGTGTAGCTGGATACAAAGTCAATACTCAAAAATCAATAGGATTCCTGTAAACAAGTAACAAACTCACTGAGAGAATTTAGGAAAACAACACCTTTCACAATAACATCCCAAAAGAATGAAATACCTAGGACTCAATCTACCAAAGGAAGTTAAAGACCTTTACATGGAAAACTACAGTACTCTGAAAATGGAGATTGAAGAGGATATCAGAAAATGGAAAGATATCAGTTGTTCTTGGGTAGGAAGAACCATTATAGTGAAAAGGGCCAAACTTCCAAAATTGTTATACAGATTTAATGCAATCTCAATCAAAATACCAATAGCATACCTCACCGAACTAGAGAAAACAATCCTAAAATTCACTTGGAACCAGAAGAGACCTAGAATAGCAAAAGCAATTCTGAGCAACAAAGGCAAGACCGGGGGCATCACAATCCCTGACTTGAAATTATAGTACAAAGCTACTGTGATAAAAGCAGTATGGTTTTGGCAATAAAACAGACCCAAGGATCAATGGAACATATTAGATGATGGAGAAACAACTCCAAACATACTCAACAACCTTATCTTTAACAAAGGAGCCAAACACTGGAAGAAAGACAGTGTTTTTAATAAATGCTGCTCGAAAAACTGGCTTTCCATGTGCCAAAAATTAAAACTAGATCCGTATCTTTCACCATGCAGTAAGTTAAAATCGAATGAATCAAAGATCTAAATATTAAAATATTATTAATATTAATATTAAAACAAACTCTAAATCTGCTAGAAGATAGACGAGAAAGAACTCTTTAAAACATCGGTGTAGGCAAAGACTTTCTGAACAAAACTCTGATCACACAGGAACTATCACAAAGAATCAACAACTAGGATCTCGTCTTATTAAAACGCTTTTGCACGGCAAAAGAAACCACCAACAACGTGAAGACAACCCACAGAATGGGAAAATTTTTTTGCCAGCTGTTCCTCAAAGGGCTACTATCTAGAATATAGAAAGAACTCAAAAAAAATTAGATTCCCTCAAATTTAAAGACCCAATCCAAAAATGGGCATCTGAAATGAATAGACACGTCTCAGATGAAGTAGTAGAAATGCAATATATGAAAAAAATGTTTGTCATCACTAGCCATTCAAGAAATGCAAATTAAAACAATGCTGAGATTCCCGCTCACACCAGAAAGAATGGCTTTTATCATAAATCAATGAATAATAAATGCTGATCAGAATGTGGGGGAAAAGGAACCCTGCTCCATTGTTGGTGGCAGTGTACATTGATGCAACCATTGTGGAGATTTCTCAAAAACCTAAAACACAGAGGTTCCATTTGACCCAGCTATTCCCTTTCTTGGTATTTTCTAAAAGAAAAGCATCATATCACAGCAATATATGTACACCCATGTTTATAGCAGCACAGTTTGTAATAGCTAAATTTTTTAAAAAGCTCAAATGCCCATCAACAAATGAGTAAATAAAGAAGTTGTGGGGTTTTTTTTAATACAATGGAGTACTACTCTACTGTAAAGGATAAACTTGAGACATTTCTAGGTAAATGGATGCACCTTGAGACCATTCTCTTAAGTGAAATAAATCGGACACACGTTTAAATATTGCACTATTTCTCTGGTGTAAGAAACTGAAATGGTAAATAAGAAACAAGATGTTTAACAGATACTGGAAATAGGAAGAAAATGTTCAAATGGGAAGAGGAACTAGGGAGAGGGGAGGGAGAAAGGAAGGAATGGAAAAGGAAAAAAAAGAATAGAAGGAAAAAAATGGAAACCAAGCTTTTATAAATGGAGGGAGGAGAAACCCGAGAGAAGTGTCTGTGCCCCTTCCTTCTGCAGCACGGAGGTGGTACAGACCCAACAGCTCTGAGAATTAAATAACTTTACTACAAGGACAAGATGTCAAATGCTGAGAGTCCCCATGAGGTTGTCCCCAAGTGTTGCTAAAGTTGCTGACTCTTGGGTTTAACTGTTCTCACTCTCCCATCTGTTGCCATTTCCAAAAAGTAATACCACATGTTCTGGGCTAAGCCAGAGATGTGTGACAGAAGGACAGTAACTGGTCAGAGGGCCCATGATGAAAGCCAGTGCATAATATTGGGTTAAAAAACAAACAAAAAACAACAGGTGGAAATAACCATAATTTTTCAAGAACATTTATACATCTTTTTAATTAGATTAGCTTTACAAGCAACTTGAGAGCTCTTTCATAAGGAAACACTGCTTTTCAAATTACACGACTTTATAGTCTGTCTTGAAATTCTTTGCCTGCTATTGATAAAGGTCTGTGTTTTACAGCTGGTTAATGTATTGAATAAAAACAGTATTATGAAGCTTCATCTTTAACCAGGATTAACACATATAGGCCACAAATAGTTTTAAATAGTCTTGCTTGGTGACAAGTTAACGGTCCCACTAACATGAAATGAACAGATTTTAAATGGATATTAAAGAACTGGCTATCCTGATTTCTGAATCTTTTCACAATGACTGCCAAGAAGGTATATAAACTTCTCCAAAAAATATACAATGTAAGACCTGTCGGCAAGCACAACCAGGGACAGTACAGAGTGATACTCTGTGCACCTGCAGAGGTAAACATCTGGGTGGCGTATGGACTCCCAAAGTAAAGGGCTGTTGCTGTACATGTTGACAATCCAACAAGCCTCCCATCAACATAAACGATTCCTACACACCCTATAAACGACAGTGCTTTTGAGCTGTGGCCTGACGCAGCACACCACGCTGCAGACCAGGTGGCAAAGCTGTGCATTCCCAGGTCGGGCAGCAGAGGCACTTACTGGCAAGGTGTCGCTGAGCATCTGGAGAGAAAGAGAGGACTCGGAGCAGACCTGAACATGGGCAAGGAAGACAACTGAACTTTCTCCTGCAAGTCCCCCAAGTGAGATCCCAGTACTGACTATCTAACCCCCAAGTCCACTTTCAGGCTCAATTTTTTTTTCATGTTTTACATGAACAGTAGCAATCTTTTAATAAAAATTACTGAGCTTTCCATAGAAAAGGTCTCTAATTGAATACAAACTATACAGATGCTGAAACTGTCCTAAGTTGAAATATACAGAAATAACTCTGTATACTCAATTCTGGCAAAGATTAGGACAGAGCCAGAAAACCCAAGGGACAAGGTCTTACATCCATAATTCATGCAAAATATGGATACTGCCCATTGGGCCTTGCTGAAGAGCCTAAGGAAGTGAAACCTATGATGTCCATCCCAATTCAGTTTTGTGTTTTTTGCAGTACCGGGGATAGAACCCAGGGCCTTCCCACTGAGTTACCTCCCTGGCCTTTATTTTGAGACATGGTCTTGCTGAATCACTAAACTGTCCAGGCTGGGCTTGAACTTGCAGTCCTCCCATAACGCTGAGATTGTGGGTGTGTACCACCATGCCCAGCTCCAATTTGTTTTTTAAATACCAGAAGTCTGGGAGGCCTGTGTGATTGTGTAATAGTCCCTCTTTTTCTAAAAAGTAAAAAAGATCCATAAAACATAAAAATAAAATATCTGGTTTTACGCTGTTTCTCTAAGCTAAACATACATCTTTCAGCACTGGTCAGAAGGCTGCATCATGTTAGGGGAACACTGCGCAGCTGTCTGAGGAGCCAAGAACATGAGTCTACAACTCTGTATCTGTTTCGCTACCTCTACAATCTGCCTTGGACACTCTTCAGCAGAAATAAGGTTCTGATCTGCAGATCAGACAGAGTCCAGGACTAAGGGAGAAAACACAGCAGTAAATTTGGAAGTAATAGTTCACTGAAGAAAAGCAAAAGGAATAATATTGGGTTAAAAAACAATCTTCAATCGGGACATTTGTGTCTACAACTATAGGAGACATCTGCAAACAGAAAAAAGCCCTTTATTTTAGGAACTTGATGCTGAGGGCAACCTCAAGTTCATTTACTGCCAGTCACTTTAGTTTCGTTTTTGTTTTTTAATGAAAAGATTAAACCCTTCTTACTGTGTATTTTTTCTTGTAAAACATGTTACTCAGCAGTCAATGGTGACTGTTTTACTATTAGATTTCATTATTAACAATGTCAAAAGATGACAGCAGCAATCTTTAAGAGTTCAATTAGTGTAAGACAAGACAACAAAACAATCTGGGTTTTCAGTTGGTGATTAAAGTGCTCCTTTAAGTCAAAAGAAAATTAGTCATCAGTCACTGGCAACAATCATTGTAAGAGGTCTTTTAGGGCAAAATTTAATAGTACGAAGAGGTTTACAAAAATAGATTGATGTTATTTTGAGGAATAATACTGTAATTTCAATTCAGTTTTGATAAATTGTACCTAATCATACAAAAATTACTCCAAATTCAAATTTGATATAAAAAAGAGAGATGAAATGAACTCAGCTAGATGACAGATCTGGCAAAATATAAGAATGAAAAAATTCTATGTAGGGCACTTATTTCAGGTCCAGATAGAAATGCCATTTTCCCTCGATAGCGTCTCCTCTTCCTGTCAGCAATCCCAGATCGAAGCTGGCCATGCACTGGTCTTCTACTCGATGAGACATGGGAAAGCTGCTTCTGTTCCTGGTGGAGAGCCGACCGGGCCTCTCCACCTCTTTGCCCCAGTCCTTCATGTTCACATGCTAACAAGCGGCGCCCAGAGTCCAGTGAGGGGTGCTGCTGGGACGTGAGCCACACTAGGCGTCCTTATTGACTGAATCTGAAGGCTTATTGAGTTCCACCCTCACACCTTTTTCACCTGCAAGGAAAAAGCAAACATTCATTCGCTAAGCCCCAGACAGCCACTGCTTCCCACTGTGTTCCCAGCACTGGGGACAATATCACAGCCTGTCCCATGGGCCCAGCCCACACCACCCTTGACTTTCTCCTGTGACAGGTGCCTTCCTCAGAACTAGGCTGTCTACAAAGAGATAATGATTTTATCTCCTTTTATTTTAAGAGCAATTTGGGCTACTTTAATATAGCAGAGTGTTCAGGGTCACTGAAAGCACACAGATAATGACTGACAATACACAGAAAATGTATGTACACTTCGTTTTTATATTTCTATAAAAGGCTGATGCTTGATTATCAATGGCTCAGGAAAATAAGAGTGAATCAGTAACATGAACACTGAGCAGTCATCTAGAGAGATAAGGCAGGGTTAAAGGAAAGCCAGGTGAGCGATCCATCAGCTGAGGGACACAAAGGGTCAGTCCAAGCACATAAACCTGTGCATACCAGAGGACTCAATGTGCTCATCTGAGGCACCGCCTGGGGCATTTCAGGTCATCTCTTGTGCATGAATTTTCTCCATGTCCATGTGTTCCTTGGAGGGTGTGTGGTTAGAAAGACATTCATTTCTTTCTCAGGGAGACAGAGGCAGCCAGTTGCCACAGTTTACCTGTGAGTCCAGGAGCCCATGGTTGGAAGGGACAATCACAGAATAATTCAGCTTGTATTTGAGTAACTTATTCAGGCCTCTTTGCTTTAAACTTTCCTAATCTTTGGACAATTTCCTCCATGAAAGATAACAGTGAAGATGACTTAAGAAAAATCCTTTTCTAAATAAGGTAACTAAGGAATCTGACAAAATGTGGAATGACCTGATACGGACAAGGGCTGTCCTAGGTTCTCTGAAAGCACTTTGTGTTGGCAGGGTGTCTTTGTTCCAGTCTGCCCTGGCCCCAAATGGTGTTTACCTGTTAGATATTTTACTTTAGCTCTCGCTCGCTCATCTGCATCAAAATACCAAACAGTTATTGCGTACCTAAAAGAAAATTTAGAATAGCATAAGAACGGTCACAGTGGGGAGAGAGTGGCTTGGTATCACGATGGTATGGTTAAACCTGCAAATGCCCCAAATATGCCCAGACTGGAAACATATCAGAGGCAAAGGAGCCCAGGAACAACTCACTCACTTGCAGCCTCAGAGCAACAGGCACAGCAGAGGCCAGGGAGAGGCCCAAACTGGCGCTACACAGGGGACCAGTCCTTATGCCTTTTGAACACTCACTCAGCCTCTGTGCCCTCCTCGTGAAGCTCTTGCATACCAGAAACGGGCAGTAGAGGAGTAAAGGACTGTACCAAGAGCACAGTAACAGAGGAGGAGATAGGTAAGAGCTGCAGGCATGGCCCTGGGGCCCTTTAGCAAGGGGAGGCCAGCGTCCTGCAGTTTCTGAGGACACTCAAAGTCACAGGGAAGGATAACAGTGTTTAGTATAAGCTGGAGTCATCAAGGAAGAGTTAAACTACGCTAAGTAGTTTTTAGGATTTTATTACAATGATGACATTATTTTAATGCTTAGAGTTTGTCTAAGCTTCATTTATCTGAATCGGTTCACTTATCTGGACCATTTTATTTTACAAATCCATGAGGCGACCTGGTTTATTCGATCCTATAAAGCAGTGAGCCCTGATGCAACAGGAAGAAAGTGCCCAGAACTCGAAAGGACAAGCATGCTCCATGGCTCCATGCGATCCGCAGATCACAGCAGTTCATTTTCTGTGGACTCTAGTCAGTGTCCTCAGGAAAAAGCAACATTGGCCAAATGAAGAGTCAGTGAGTGGTCCCAGGTGAACTGTGTAACAAGCTAAAGAGTCAAGGGCACAGTGGAGCCAGCATCACCTCTGGGATATTGAGGAGCACAGGTCCCTGGCTGGTGCCCTGACCGCCACACTATTCTTCCCAGGGAGCCACCACCTTTCCTACCACCGAGCCTCTATTTTCTCACTAGAAAAGGGGTTCAGGTGCATAACCCTGTATCTCTTCTCACCACAAACTTTCAGTTCACAGTTAAGAGTCAGATACATAGACTGGCTCCCCTGAACCTGAGTCCTATAGGCATGTGCTACAGCTGCCATCAGGCATCCAGCTTTCCAGTCCTTCTTGCCCCCACTTCTCACTGTGACTGCACTGACAGAGGGCTGCAGGGACAAATGGGCCTGGCCCTGCAACCCCTCTCTTCGCGATAGCCCTCCTTCCTCACCACTGGCCTTAGTTCACTACCCCAAAATGTCCAGCACTTCTCTATCTAGAAGGCTACAACCGAGGCGAACTCTGGCTCCTTCAAAAAGAAGGCTGTGCAGTGCTTTCTGGGTCAGAAGTAGTGAGGGAAGCAGTGGGGACAGAGAAGGAACCCAGAATGGCCCAGTGCACAATGTGACCCTGTCACCCTGATTTGCCCTTGGGGGTCTTGAGAGCTCTAGCCACAGACTGCTCAGCCTGCTACCCATTTTGTGATTTAGGGTGGTGACAATATGGCTTAGAGGGAAGGGAAAAGGTGGGGGGTGGAGAGTGTAGCCCCAGAACCTGGTCCCCACTGGCTGCCTCAGACACCAGTGGGGAACCCATCAGTCTGCTCAGTGCATGTCCCCGTGGCCCCTCTGTGGCCTCTCACCCAAGTGTAGCAGTCAATGCTGCAGTACACTCTCATCGCCTTAAGCCTTTTCCTGAACACAGAACTGGTGACTAGAAAATAGGGCTGCTTCTGACAGTATTTATGTTCCTAACAATGTTTGCAATAACTTCTGTTTTAGTCTTGAGTCATCATAAATGGTAAAAACAAACATTCAAAAGAATGCAATAACATAATTGTTTAAAATATTACATCTTGTAGAGAAGTCTAATGAAACTGAGGCTGAGTCCAGGAACAGGGTGATTTTCCCAACACTCCCCTCCACACTTGACAGCCCTTCCTCCGCCTTTTCCTTCCTCTATTTCTCGTCACTGCTGCTCCCGGTTACCCCATAGTTTTCTACTCTGTATCCATTTTCCCATATTACCACCCCTCACCACCTTTTAAAGATCCCTTTCCTTCTTTACCTTTCTATCCCCAAGTAAAAGACATGGAATGGGACTTAGCTAACAGGTACACAGCACAGGGGCCCAGGGCTGGGAGGGGGTGGCTGTGCCGAGAGTCGCAACCTTTAGCCCTGACTGTGATTGCGCACCAGCGCTCAAATTAAGACAACTGTGAAACTTTCAGTCCATTTCGAAATCTCTGCCATCCCACCACACTTGTAACTAGGTGTCTAGTGTTGATCCTAGCATGTCCCTCCAATCTCATACGTTCAGATGCAGGACTTCGGGAAGGTGACTGGATCATGGGAGTTGCTATACTCATCAGTGGATTAATCCACTGCTTTACAGATGACTGTGCTTTTAGGAGGTGGGGCCTGGTTGGAGGTGGGTGTGACTAAAGGGTGCATTCTTGTCCCTGGCTTCTCCCTTCTCTCTCTGCTTCTTTGCCAGCATGGGGTAGGCAGTTTTTCTCTGCCATGCCCTCCCACTGTGCTGTTTCTGCCTTGGTGCCGGCCAAACAAAACTCTCCTCAAGTTGGGAGCATCTGGCATTTTATCCCAGCACCAGGAAAGTGCCTAGTACACCAGGTATAACCTGCAATCCCTTGTCCCACGATACTCTTAACCAAGTTTAGGTAAAAGAATACTACCTTGTGGCATATGCTGGTTGTACTTCATGAGGGTTGCGACGGTCAGACCAGAAAAACAGCAGTCTGTCAAACTTGGGTTCAATGTCAGCAAACTGCGCTTTGCCTTCTGGAAATATTCGAAGTATACCTCCACTTACCTAGGAAAAGAACCAAATATTTAAGTACAAACAACCAAAACTACTACTGGGTTCAATTTAGAGGGGAAAAGACTATTTTAATGAATCAAAATTCTTTTTTTTGGGGGGGGGGAGGGACCAGGGATCAAACTTGGGACCTTGAGCTTGAGAGGCAGGCGGCAGAACCACTGAGCTAAATCCCTGGGCCCTCCAAAATTCTCAACTGGAACATTAATGAATACATCTCAACAAGGTATAAAGATGAGTTGACATTCTTCTTTTTTCTTTTTTTAGATATAGGGATGGAACCCAGAGCCTTTTCCCTGTGCTATATTCCCACTCCTTTTTTATTTTGAGACAGGATCTCACTAAGTCAAATTCCCCAGGCTGGGCTTGAACTTGCGAACCACCTGCCCCAGCCTCCCAGTGAGTTGTTATTCTATGCTCTGAGCTGGACATGCTGGCACATGCCTGTAATCCCAGCACACAGGAGACTGAGGCAGGAGTAGCACCTCAAGTTTGAGACCACCCTGGGCCATACAGTGAGTTCAAGGTCAGCCTGGACCACATACTGAGAGCCTGTCTCAAAAAAAACAAAATAAAACTCAAAATACCCAATCCCCCCCAAAAATGAACACAAACTAAGTACATGCTCTGATGCAAGGAAAAATTCCACTTATTTTGCTTCAGAGATTTCTGTAAATACGTAATGAAATACTGTCCAAATTCAAAAGTCCAAAAATGATGCTTGAGAGTTCTAAAAATGCATCTTACTTATCCTGCTAACAATCTCCTTAACTCACTTGTACAACAGATACATGTGAGGCTACCCTGATGAATGGCTTACCTTGACTTGTTGTATGGAGTAAACACTACAGCATACCCTAATGTTCAACAGACCAGTAACAGGGCAGTTGCAAGCTTAATGCCTTTTATTTAAAGGTTTCAGGGTATGCGCAGAAAGTGCCATCACTTACCACACATCAGCACCATTGGCAACATGCTCCTCACCGGCACCCACGCTCTCCCGTCCATACTGGTGGGACACAGTGAGGACTGATGCTTGCAACTCAAGTCCATACACAAAGGACTGTTTCTGGTTCACCTCACCAAACCACTCTCTGAGTTCTGATGGGCTCACGTCCTAGTACTGCCAGTACTGCCTGAACAGCAGGTGCACCGGGAGCTTGGGGGCCTGGGTAGGGACAGGGAGGAACCAGACAGACCTGGCCCTTGTGTTCAAAAGTCTGGGGAGACTGAAGCTGGCAAGATCCACCCCCAAGGCACTCTGTGCCTCTAGTAACTCATCTCCTAAGCAGGAAGACTCCTAAAGGTAAAGAGAATTTACTCCCTGATCCAGATGTCATGGAGCCTATGCCATGCCTAGAACTTGCAGTGAGAGAGAAATGTTCCTGGGGCTGGTCCACAGCAGTGCCACACTTCGGCTCCTGGGGCCCCTGCCCATCTCCCTCAGGTGCAAGTAGTCAGCAAGTCCCTGGGCCTCTGCCATCCATCTAAAGAACTCCAGACTGGGGCCCCCTTCCCACTCTAGGTTCACCAGGAAAAGTGCAGGTGCTGTGTGGAAAACGGTTAAAAACAGCCAGCCAACACTTTGTTCTTCCCCTGGAAACCTTCCCCACGTCTATACCAGTGGCTTCCTACATGGGATCTGTCCTGACAGCTGGCACAACCAGCGGCAGCTGGAACCATCCTCTCTGAGGGCTGTGTCCCCTTCTGCTGTGACCCAGGAGTCCGCATGCAGCACACACCAGTCCCATGTGGCAAGGGAAGTTTTCTGCTCTGTGTATAAAAATGCCAAGAGCTGACTTCTCCCTATGTGCTAATTTAAAACCAAAACGGTAAAAAATAAAATAAAATAAAACCAAACTGGCCTTATCCAGGTCATATGTGATTAAAATATTAGCCCGGAAAAAGCCTAATTAGATCTAGAAGTCAGGAGTTGATAAACACGTTTCTGACTTTCCAGATATTCACAAAATCTGACAAAGTATCAAGCTGGCTGTTTTTCCTTTGGTGCTAGGAACTGAGCCCAAGGCATATTACCCTGAGCGACATCTTCAGTCTTATAAAACAATTTTCATTTTGTGACAGGGTCTAGCTAGGTTGCTCAAGTGCCCAGGCTGGGCTCCTCCTGCCCCAGCCACCCAGAGTGCTGGTATTACAAGTGTGTACCAGCACACCTGGCTCAAAAAATCAATTTGCGCTGGGCATGGTGGCACATGCCTGTGATCGCATCACTTGGGAGGCTGAGACAAGAGGATCACCACAAGTTCAAGGCCAGTCTGGACTACATAGTGAGTTCAAGGCCAGCCTGAACTACATAGCTGAGACCCTATCTTCAAAAAAATTTTTTTTTAAATCGACTTGTAAATTTTAACTAAAATCACACCCATCTGTAATGTACCTTGGGCTCAAGGTAAATTACCAGATTTCTCTACTTCAAGCTCTGAAAGCTCTAGAATCTGTAAAACCATGGGAATCTGGCCAGCAGTCAACTCGTCTGCATGCTGCACTTGGATTAGACAATGGAAGCTCTTTAAACCAGAGTTATAGGCGCCCTCGAGCACACTGTGAGCTCATTCTGGCTTTAAACACTTCAGGAGGAAGGGAGGGAGGATTCCATCTCTGCACCCTTAGGACTTAGGTGGTTTCTACTTGTGTACTGGGAGTAAGGGGGTGTGTTTTAAAACTTTTTTGATTTTTAAAGACTCAGCCTGCTAGACATGTGTTCACTTTGTGAGAATCTACTAAGCTATATGCTGTGTTCACTTGCACCATATGACTGTTTTACTTCAGGCTTAAAAAAAAATTAAATACAACAATCAGTGATGGCCTGTGGTGCAGTAACATCTGATTTACTTTTAAAAATCATTTATTGAAACTTAGGTTAATATTAAAGGAATATAGTTTTAAAACAAGAGATTACATATACTGTATATTCAAACTGGCTTTACAGTGTTGTTAAGTGTCAATAAACTTCTAGTTTTCCCATAATTAGGGTAAGACAGAATCTGGCCTGAATATTCAGCAACACAATGCCATATAACATCTCTATTAAAATGCAAAGAATAAAACAGCAAATAATCCATAACAACTACTTATATAGATCACCTTCACCTAGAGCCATTAGGAAAAAACTGTTCTCAGATGTATTTTTATTAAACTACTAAAAGGAAGTTACTTTAATAAGGTCACTTTTATAAAAGTTTAAATTTTAGACAAATCCTTCAATATCTGGAATAACTGAATCTATTTTTCCAATATACTGGTGGTTTTGCATAGTTTTATTGAGGCACAATTGATATATCAAAAAGGGTCATATTTAATGTATATAACAATTTGATGTGCTTGGACATATCATGCACAGGCTTGTGATACCACCAATCACCACAATCAAGATGAAAAACACACTGCCACCTCCCAAAATTCCCTATGTCCTTGTCCTCCCTCCTTCCTTTTTTTTTTTTTTTTCATGGTTAGAACACTGAACACAGGATCTACCCTCTTAAATTTTTTTTTTTTTTTTGGCACCAGGGATCAAACTCAGGACCTTACACTTGCCAGGCAGGCACTGTGCCACTAAGCTAAATCCTTGGCCTTACCCTCTTAAATTTTTTAAATGTACCACACCATATTGTTATCTACAGGAATCTCACATAGGCTGTGTGTGGTACATTACTTATTTGTTTAAAGTATGTTGGCACTGTATTTCTTTTCAAATACATTTCTGTCTATGTATGAGATGGAGTCTTGCTATGTAGTCCAGGCTGGCCTTGCAACTCACTATATAGCCCAGGGCTGGCCTCAAACTCAAAATGATCCTCCCATCTCTGCTTCCCAGAGTGCTGGGATTATAGGCGTGCACCACCACACCCAGCTCAATATTTATTTATTTTATAAAGACCTAACCCAATACCTGGGACTGAAACTGGTCTGAGAGAATTTAATTTTTCCAAGTGTTAAAGATAGTCTCACCTAATATTATAAGTAGGAATCTTAATATTTGTCAGAAAAGAATACCCATGAGAAAAAGATGTAAGTGCTCAATCGAGCTGCCTACCTTGGCATCCCAGTCTTTATTTAGATAATATATACATGTCACACATCTTCCATCTCCATTTGGATTATCCACGTGGCGAACATAACCTGTTCCATTGCCTGGGTAACAAGCAACCATGGCCTGCAATAACAATAATGATTTTTAAAGTCTGTATGTGGACCTAAGGGAGAACAGCAGTGTATAAAAAACAGCCCTGAATTTTGGCTGCTCCGACTTACACTCACATTCTTCTCTCTTACAGGATTCACATGGCAGGTAACAGGCCAGAAAGCTACTGACATTTATATAAGGAAGCAGGAGGATGGGGGACAGTCCAGGGCCTGGGGACTTCAGTTGAGCATGACAGAGGGCCAGCACTGGAGATCAAGGAGTGGCACAGCTGTGGTCCCTGGGTGGCCACAAGCCAGCGCCCTGCTTGAAAGAGCAAAGGTCAGGAGTTCAAACCCCATTGCTGGATCTTCACATACTCTCATGATCAAGGTCAGAAGAGTTTCTATCATGCTCCACCCACGGAGTCTCTTCTTTCTCCCTGCTCAGAACACCTGTGTCCCACACCAGAGAGGTGGGTGGTCCCAGACACCATCTGATGCCTTTCTGAAAGCCACTGGCAAAGGTGAACATCATTCATTCATTAACTTATTTGCAGTGCAAGGGATGAACCCAGGGCTTCATCCAAGTGCTCTACCACTGTACTCCACCATTGGTGAAGATTGGCATAATTTAGATGGGTAACTCCAAATATCAATTCATTTAATGTTTGTGATTATTTTTTTAAATACTAAAGAACAAATTAGTATATTGACACACACCCCCCTTGCTTTTGAGGCAGGGTCTCACTTTGTGTATTGCAAGCTGGCTTTGAACTCACTATGTAGCCCAGGCTGGCTTTAAATTCACAGTGATTCTCCTGCTTCAGCCTCCCCAGTGCTAGGACTAAAGGCATGCGCTACCACACCCAGCCCGAACCCCTCTTCAAAATCAGAAAGAAAACCATGTTTTTGCTTAACCTGTAACCAGACACGGTTCAGAAGATTGCTGGGTGTTAAGCATGGAGTGGGAGAGGAACCCCAATACAAAGCACAAAGTCTCTTACATCCTGTAGGCTTATGTGCCTCATGATCAACTGAAATGGCAGGGCTGATTTAAAAACATTCCCAGGCCTGTAATCCCAGCCCTTGGGAGGCTGAGGCAGGGAGATCCTTGTGAGTCTGAGGCCAGCCTGGGCTACATAGTAAGTTCAAGGCCAGCAAGCTACATAGCAAGACCCTGTCTCAAAAACAAAAACAAAAACAAAACATCCCAGGGAAGAAAACAAAGACAAAGATGTTCAACATTGCCAGTTATTCTTGAAATCCTTTACTTCTCCATGTATTAAAGTCAATGGATCCACACAGATATATAAAACATTCAATTACTCTTCCCTTATATTAAGACAAATGACAAATGCTAAATTTTAAAATTCATGTTCAACTGATCAGAGAAACAGTGACTCAGTGATTCCATCTCAGGGGACTAAGATGCATTTTAAATTTCATCCTTTTTTCCTTGTGGTACTGGGGACTGAACTCAGGGCTTTCATACTAAGCTACATCCCAAGCCTTTTATCTTTTAGAGCCTAAATTGCTCAGTCTGGGCTCAAATTTTCAATCCTCTTGCCTCAGCTTCCCAGAGTACTAGGATTATAGATGTGTACTACCACACCCGGCTTAAACCTGTATCCCTAAAAAGAAAACAATCTGGCTGCCTTAGGCATCCTGACTTGCTCTAAGAGCAGATTTCTTGGTGACCTTACAGTAGGTTTTTATTTTTTTCTAACTCAAGGCAAACTGAGACTCAAGGCTTCTTCTTTTAGCACTGGGGTTTGGCAAGGCCAGGAGGTGGCACAGGCCTGGGTGTGTAAGACTGTTCCATGAATGGCGAACCCAAGTGATTCCATCACCAGCTGCCAGAGAAAGGGTCTCAGAGCAAGACTCAGATGACAACCACAAGAGGCCACCGATTTAACATCAGAGTTAACGCCGGTGCAGTGACCTAGGAAAGTCATGGTGAGTTAAGAAGGGGAGGAAACTCTGGACTCAAACTCCTTCCTACAGCCAGTTCATCTCAGAAGGTAAGCTGGCTCCTCTGACCACCTGGCACTCGCCCCTCTGGTGTGGAGAAGAAAGGGCAAACCTTTCTCCAGTTCACCCCATCCATTCCATCCATCCACTTAGCAAATCTGTCTTGAGACCTAGTACGTCCAGGACAGGGCTAGGGCGACAGTGGTGAAAGGAGACCAAGTCTCTGGCTGTCATTTATTATGAAATGTGATCCAATAAACATGGAATGGAATGTTCAGTAGCAGGAAGTTATCTTTCCATGAGCTATGGAAGAAAACTGAGTAAGGCTGCAACAATGGTGGCATGATATTCTAGGACACCATTAGGGCAGAAGTCATTTCCAAGGCACTGCCCTCTGAGCAGGCAGGCCACACCGGAGGGGGACAGAGGGGACATTTAGGGGTGGCAGCTACTGTGGTTGGGCAGCGTGGAACATAAGAGAGCTGGCCAGGGAGGCTGGGTTGAGCAAGCAGGGCTAGGAGCCCAGAAAGAAGAAAGCCACACTAGGCAGCTAGACCTGTAAGCCAAGACGGGAAACACATCTGCTTGGTGCTTCAGGAAGAGCAGTTCCCATTTTGTATGAACGAAAACTAACAACGGCAATAACCTCAGTATCACTCACCACTGACATTTACTGGGTGTTTACTATTTGTCAAGCACTATTCTCAGCGATTCCTGTGTAATAACTCACCTGACATACCTGGCGAAGTAAACACCCTTACTCTCACCTTCATTTAATTGTTAAGAAAGTGAAGGCCAGAAAGGCTAATGCGTGTCTCAAAGCCTGGCCAGGTGGATGCTGGGAATCTGGTTCACAACCCATGTAATCAGCCCCGGCTAGACTGCTGGGATGGAGAACAAAGACGTAAGTCAGCTACTGAAGGCAGAAGATCACTGTGGTGCACCAGCAGGAAGAAGCACGAGGCTGACCCTATAAATCAGTCATGAGGTTGCCGTTAACCATGACCCAGCCCTGGGTGAACAAGAAGGAGCAGTGTTGACAACGTGTGTCCAGTAGGAAGGGTATCCCAGCATGGTCACGAGGAGCTGGGTACCCCAGAATGGAATGCAGCTGGTACATCAGAATTCCAAGTAAGATTTTTTTTTAAAGGATGCAATGAAAGTTTTAAACTTTCAAAGTTTCAAAGAAAAGTTTTAGTTTAATTAAATAAAATGCATTAAATTGCATTAAGTTTTTTCTTTTTCTTTTGGTTTTTGAGGCCGGATACAGTTCAGGCTTGGCCTTGAATGCTGGGTGATCTTCCAGCCTCAGACTCCTGAGTGCTGGGATTACAGGCGTGTGCCACCACACTCAGCTACATTAAGTTTTCTGAACCCTGACATAGCTGAGCTACCTGCATCTAAACATGATTCCAAGGGCAGTGTTACAGTTTAGATCTGGAATGTCCCCCCAAAAGTCTCATGTATTCATGTTGGAAGGTGACTGGATCAAGAGCACTGTACCCATCAGTGAACTGCTGAGTTCACAGCTCAAAGTGCTGCTAGGAGAGGGAATCTGTCTAGAGGAAGCAGGCCACGCCCTGGCTCCTTCCAGCTTTCCGCTTCCAGATGCCAGGAGGTAGTGTCCCGGCAACATGAAACTAACAGGGCAGCCATCACCATGCTGGCCTTGTAGCACTTCCTCTCTTCTGCTCAGGGGCTCAGGACACTGGAGATTTAGACAGGAGGAGAGGAAAGGAGACACGTGTGCTACTCAGCCTGCATTTAACCTTCCACTCAATGAACTACCAATGCCAGCTGGAGCAAAGGTGGTAATCCTGATTTTGGTTGTAAAAGAATAAAAATGGGCAGCAATAAACCCCAGCAAATTAGAAAGCCTGAAAAGGAAACAACACAATTCTCACATGTAACTCTGAGGCCATGCTCCTAGGCCATCTCAAAGTGACCCCAACTTTAAATACTTCAACTTCCCATGAGGAAAACCTATTCAACATAAGCAAAACAACTAAATACTACCTTTCTTCCTCGCTGGTATGAAAATATACATGTTCAAGGATGTTCTTAAGATAGGAAACACCATAAATGTGTTTTTCCCTCTGAGAATAAAAGGAAGGAAGAGGCTTGTGATACCTCTTTGGAGTCTGAAGGCGTTTATTTCAAGCATTAGCACACTTCAATATGAAGGTGAACCAGTGAACTTTTGTTTTTAAAATTTTCCTTTTTGAAGTGAATTACTAAAAATCAGATTCACAGCTAAGAAAACTAAAATTTGATGGTACGTTACCTGTAGCCTCCAACGTTAGCAGTTGCTCTGGAAAAGAACCAAACACAGAAACCACACATAAGCTCAGTCACAGCTAAGGAAAGCACACAGGTTAGGGTAATAAACACCATAAGACAGGCATCCAAGCGCCCACATACAAAGACATGACCCACTGTCATGGGAATAGGGCACCTGGAAAGACCTGAGATAGAGACAACAACAAGTGAAAATCATAAGTCTGCCAGAGCAGGGAAAATTCCAAGTACTAGAGGGAACAAAACAGGCGCACAAAGGGAGACTACAGAAGACACAAAAAGGGAACACCGTGGCAGATGTGTGGTGGTGACATGGGGGCAGAGCAGGAAAGCAGGCAAGCAGCTTTGGAGGTGATCACAGAATTGCTGAGGATGGTCACCTTGCAGCCAGAACTGGCTGGATGTGCACAGAATCACTTGGGCTGCTTCCCAAAAGCAATGACCCCTAGCCCCTCCACCTGAGATTATGGATTTGAATACAGGGGATGAAGCCTGGGGTCCTGTACTTTTAAACAAGCACTCCATTCTGACTGGCAAAGGGCCAAGAACAAAGGGCTGGGAATTGTGATAAAAGAATAAATCTCAATTTCATAAACATCACTCAGGCTACTTGCTGAAGATGAAGGATGACTTGGAAGAAGAGGTTATAGACCCAGAAACGAGAGATAGGAGTCAGAGTAAAGGGCAGTGGAAATGGAAAGTGCAGGGTGGTCTACAGCTGTGGTGAGGGAGGAGGAAAAATTCACACTAAAAATTTAAACA